CGAATACTGAAAGAAATTCTGTAAAACCTTTTAAGATTTTACTGTCTGTCTGACGCTAATGCATTGATTGTGGTCACTTGTTACCTAATAAAAGTGAATACTAACCAATACCGGACCGTATTGGTTACTTTTAAAAGTTTTCTGCATTATCTTTGAAACGGTTACCAATCCATACCAATCATCTGTAATCGCGTATTTATAAAGGTACTATTAGATTTATAGATGATATCATTGGAAGTGTTATGAGTACAGTTCATATCAGAGTTCTTCTTCCATTTCGGATAATCAGTTTCTGCTCGATATTGATAGAAATTAGTTTTCAGTCTCAACATTTGTTGAATTCTTGTCTAAAAATCACACTTTATTTTGAATCTGTATAAAAGAAAAATGCATAAAGTTCACAAATTTATATATTTCGGACTGTTTTTTTTTCAGATGATAGCTCCAAGCTTTTTCTACAAAATGACATAATTTGATCAATAACTTCATGTAAGTTTGTTGTAGATGTTATCGATTTCCTGAGAGGGATCGAAACTTTTGAACCACCCTTTAGCTTAGTCTGAGAATAGAACTCAGTCGTACAATCTATCGATTATCCTTACATAAAATGCGTACTCGATCATTTGGATAGAATAGATTGAGATGAAAATGCCAAGGAAAAGGACATTTAACAAGATCAATATTCATCGTGTGTGTACGTTGTGTACGTTGATTTGTCAGTCGAATGATTCGATTGTCACAATCCAATAATAATTCTATAATATCGTTCAGTTCAAAGTCACAAGAATAGCCATCGAGACCTGAATGCATTGCGCAATTAAGAATAGTACAATCTTGTCCTCCCCATCCATAGCTTGATGATATTGCCCAAGTATTCGATTGCATTTTTGCTGTATGTGAAATAACACCGAAGAAGATCCATTTATTAATATTGTAAGACTCAATTTTGAATAGGAATCGATGTTGACCTGAACTATATTCATCACTTCCTCGAATACTTGCATGACAAACTGATGGACCATGTTCAACAACTTGACCATCGTTCTTGATTGTTAAGTCCCCAGAAAACATGTCAAAAACATCATCTGGTATTTGCCAAATAGAAATTTTAGAAATTAATATATCATCTTGAAAATGAATTGTCGGTGAAGATGCCACATAAATTTTAAGTTTGTTAAATTTATTCAATAGTTGCTGTAAATCGCTTTCCATAAAGTCATTGTCACTTCGAGTTTTTTTTAATTCTTCCGATAATTGTTTCAATCGTTGTGAAAATTGATTTCTATGTTTTTCAACTTTTATTTTTAGTTCCTGTCGAAGTTTATCAGCCATTTGATGAATCTTTACAATAGATTCCTGTTCCCATTCATCAATTTTTGTTATGGACAAATAATGGCATGATTCACTTGATTGTTGTAATTGATCATGATCAAGAATAAGCTCGTCTAATTGTTGCGCAAGTACTTGTTTGTGCTCGTTCATATGTTGCATGCAAAATCCTTGGCAACATCCAATGCAAGTGAAAATACTTCTAACGTTCTTATCTTTACACAACACACAATATCGTGTTGCAGTTGTCGTCGACGAAGCCATACAAATAAATGTATGCTTATCAATTGATGTAAGAGAAAGAAAGAGAATCGCAATCATAAAAAGAAAAACCCAACATACCTTTTCAAGTAGAAAGCAGAAAAGTGAAGCAAACGCCTCCGCTCTCGAACATGCGTCACAAATCGTGACATAAAATTTCTATACACTCAGTTTTACTACTCATTACAGAACGCGACAAAAAATTTTGATTTGTTGTTTTTCGTTTTCCATTATGGATCATTAAATATTTTGTGTAAATTCGAATTAATAACTCTAGTAATTCTGTCGTGTTTCCCATCGTTTATCCTGCAGAGCTTGTGCTGAAAGTTTTTTGCCTCTTTCTAATATTTTACCGATATTCATTTAATATCGCGACGATATAGTATCTTGAATATGTAAGACTTCTTGCAACTGGACACACATAGATATTTCTGTTTTATAACCCAGCCCGAATCTGATTAGTACAGGCGCTAATCGACATTCGGCAGGCATATTCGCAATCACAGTGCGATTTTCAAATTTTTATTTCATATGAAAAAGTTTACTGTTTAGTTTCTTTCATAAGCAGCAGCAGAAAAAAAATGAATCAAGTGAATTTCAAGTAATCGCTACATCTTGTTCACAGTACTAAATAGTGAGAAAAACAGAATTATGTACTTAATATGTGAAGAATAAAAGACTATGTTACTTATCATAAAGTAACTAAAAATCTTGTGACATAAATAGAAAAGCATAGGCTTAAGTAGGATTTCGCTTCTGTCAAAATTAACATAAAAATGTTATTTGTTCTTTATTTTACCTGTGCAAGTAAAGGATTGATACAATATTGAGTGATACCTGACCTATCATGCTTACATTCATCTCAATAAATCAAAAATATCGATACATCAATCCATACATTGTTGTATGGCACCTTGGACTAGTTTAGTTTTCTTTGTACATCTCTTGTCGACTATCACAATTTCTGGTGCTACTGAAGTTTTCGATGTTGTCATTATTGGAGCTGGTCCAGCTGGTATTGCTGCAGCCATTGATCTTAAGAAAGCTTCAACTTCAATATCAATGACGATGCTGGAAGCACGAAATCGTGTCGGAGGACGAGTCTATACAGATACACATACATTTAACAATGGTGTGTCTGCTGATATCGGCGCCGAATGGATTCATGCTTATGCTCCAAAAAATTCATTATACAGTCTACATCGACAACTCCAAACAAATGAAGATAAGCAAGGTGATCACTACTTTGATTTATTCGAACCAGAAGTGACTGGATGCTACGATACGACTGGTTCAATTGTATCACGTGAAATCTGTGTGAGAGCACAATATATCATGGATAAGTTATTTTCACCAAAATACAATATAACTTTGAGAGTTCGAGACGTATCAGCTTGGGATATGATACGGCCCGAATATGAGAAAATATCAGAAGGACAAATCAAACGACTAGTTGATGCAATGTTAATTGGTAAAGAAGAGTATGAAGCTGCTGATCTTGATCAACTTTCTGCCGGACAAACTTTCTTTGGTGATTCGCCTGGTGACGACGAAGAAGAAGAAGGTGAAGATATGGCATTACAACGAGGATTCGGATCCTTGATTCAGCGAATTGTCGATAGATTTGTATTACCTGTTCAATTAAATACTGAAGTAACTCGTATCATCACGAGTAATTCGAATCATGTTCAAGTCTCAACGAAAAATGGTAAAACTATTCAATCGAAGTACGTCTTGATTACCATTCCATTAGGTTGCTTGAAACAGAAAATAATCACATTTGAGCCAGCTCTACCTCAATGGAAACAGAATGTAATTGATAGTATGGGTTTTGGTGATACGGACAAGATCATTCTACAATTCAACAAAACATTCTGGAATCAGGATTTTACTTCATTTTATATAGCTGGCGCATCATTTCCATTTGCTATTTGCGCTCCCAAGAAGCGTATCCTTGTATTTATGATTGGTGGAACACGAGCTCGTCGTATGGAAGCATCAAGAGATGAAGATACAATCGCTACGATTCTCAATGATTTAAGAAGAGCATTTCCTAATCATGCCTTTAAACTGGAACGATATCGAATATCACGATGGACACAAGATCCGTATGCACGCGGTTCCTATTCTTATTATGCATTCAATACATCGTTGGAAACTTTCGAGAATTTGGCAAGAGAATGTTGTCATAATCAATTGTTTTGGGCTGGCGAACATACTAGTTCGGGAGGTTCAGTACACACAGCATTTGCCACGGGTCAACGTGAAGCGAAGAAGATTTTCCAACGATTGAAAACAAAATGAATCATCGAGTTAAATAGCAACTGATCGAAGAATTTCTTGATCACTTGAACTTTAACGATTTCTATATTTTAAAGAACTTCGATATTAGAAAGAACTAGAGACCGAAAACAAGCTGAATCCGAACTAATTTTCAAAAAATATCATCTAATTGATTACACTATAATCAATTTTGTAGAAGTTTAATGTGGCGAGCGAAGATGAAATGATAATCATGTTTAAGACGATGGATAACTCCTATGGTACATAATGTTTTTGTTTTTTTCTCTTGAAAATTTATCCATTTTTCTATATTGCACTATGAATAATCGTCCGAAACCGTGTGAGATTATAAAAATTTTATTTTAATCTACACATACATTAATAGTGTCAATTTCCATTAACATCCATTACAGTATGATACTTTAATTGTTCAACAAGAAAACTCTAACATATTGTCTCTTCTTGAGTAGGTAGAACTAGGACTAATTGATTTGAATCGAGCTCGAATTAGCGAAATCCGATTCGATTCTGTCTCTGAAAAGAATCGTCTCTTTTCTTATGATTCAGTGATCATTAAGATTGCATCAACTGAATAAAGTTCCAGTAATAGCCAAAATTCGTGAAAGATCATTGATTTTCGTATCGCATAGGTTGACGATGACTTTTATTACAGACGAATATACCGATTGGTTTGGCAAATCTGATGAAGGTAACATTTTCAAGTGTCAGTCGAATATTTTCGGCTTACAGTTTCGATGCACAAATCTAAATAATTGATGATAATCCTTTGCATTCATATGCAGCAAGATTAATATACGTATGTTCTTCAAGTAATGAAACCATTACTTTTTTTTATAAATATGCGTTTGATTACAATAAGCCGAGTGATACTATACTTCATAATGGAATATGTCGACTAGAATGAGGGTCTAGATGAAAAGAATATTGAAAGCTACATATCCAAAAATTATGCTTTTTTTCTTGATTCTAGATTTTCCATTGATTTTATCATTGTCTTGACAATAACTACTCTGGCAGCTAGCGCCATCTATTTTAATAACTATGTCAAATCTCTCATTTAAAAGTAAACAAACTTTTTAATTACAATAAAATCAAAATTTATATTATTAAAATTTATTTCAAAACTTCGTTTTTTTTATTTTCGTTCGTATTTATTTGTTGTGTCATTCTCATTCTCATTATTCTCATTTATTTCATATATATATATATATAGAATATAATGTCTTCATTTGCTCATCAACGTCAACTATTTCTACGTCAATTAAGTCAAACATGTCCCGAAACTATGCAAATTTTAAAAACTTATCTATCGAACTATTCAAATTTAATTTCTCCATCGTACAAAAAAACTCGTGATCCATTAGCAATGAAAGAACTTTCATCTAAATGTCCATCTTGTTCTCATTTATATTCAACAAATTCATTTCATTATCGTGGAAAACTTCATATTAATCAACATTTACATCATCTTTTACGAATTCGTCGTAAATATAAACGAATTCCATCACCAAATACATACAAACGTCGTTTATTAGATAATTTTACTAGTAAATCTCGTTCAAAATTATTCATCAAATGTTTTCATTGTGGAGAAATACGAAAATTTCATGGTGCAACAAGAAAAGAATTATCAAATCAAATAATTAAAAAAATCGAACCTATTAAACCAAAACCTCTTATCAATAATCTTAAATTAAAACAAACATTTGAAAAAGCATCTTGTCGTTTTTTAAAAAAAGAAAGTCATCTTCGAACATTTCTCGAACAACTTTAAATTTTCATTTCAGATAAACAAAATGTCTAATACCGATGAAATTCTTACACCTGAACAACTCGAACGTATTGAACGTAACCGTCAACGTGCATTACAACTTCGTGCTAGTTCAACAAAAATTTATGAATCACAAAATAAAATTCTTATATCACCTCCAACACGTAAACAACAAATTGATTCACATGCTGGATTTTTTCTTGAAGAAGATCCAATATCAATTGATGATCGTCCAATTGTATATGAAAACATACCAATTATACATCAAACTCGAACCGATGAATTAGATATACTTGGTATGCCATGTAATGAATGTCAAATGATATTTTTAACATCATTCTTATATAAAAATTTTCATGAACCTATATGTGATACATGTCGAGAAAAATATTCAATTAATGATGAAAAAGATGATATTGATAATGAACAATCCATACGTTATAGTTTAATAACACGTACATTAGCTAAAGAGAAATATTTATTAACCGATTATGATTTAGATAAACGTGAACCAATATTAAAATGTATTGAAAAAAAAAATCCTCATAATCAACGTTGGGGTATAATGCGTCTTTATCTTCGTTGTCAAATTCAATGTTTAAGTTCAGAAATACATGAAGGAAAGATTGAAGCAAAAATTGTTGAACGTGAAGAAAAAAAATCCGAAAAAAAACGAAAACAATATGAAAAACAAGTTGAACAATTACGTTTAGATGTTCGATCAAGTTTACAAACAAAACGGATGAAAACTATACATGAACATATATATGATGAAAAAAATATTAAATATAATCAAGAAACAGATATGTATACAAAGACATGTTTAGATTGTGGATATCAATATCAATATGAAGAAATGTAAATTTATTTTACTTTTGCTTTTTTTTTCTTATAGTAATCAATTAAGTGATATATATATATATATATAAAGAAAAATTTTTGTTGTTATTGATCTTATGAATAAAAAAGAATGTTTATTGTGTATTATTTCATTCTTTTGTATTTTCGAAAAAGTTAAGACCGACAAATAAAATCCGTCGGATTCGAATTTTTTTTCGCAGAAAACGAAAGAATTCAAATGCTAATAGAATCTTTAATAAAAAGTAATGCGTATAAATTTTATAAGAGTTAATATATAGTAAGTACCAAAACTATTTAACAGAGTTTGTTTTTCAATTTTTTTTCTTTTGACTAAAATTTTACAAAAAAATTCAAATAGTAATTCAAGTAGAGAAAATTGTTTCCAATAAGATTAATAGGAAAATACTAATTATTGTTAAATTTCCAAAGATAGAGTGTCTAGAAAACCGAAACTTCTAATTTTTCACTATCCAGACCACGTAAATAGGAATATCATTTTCCTGTTAATTTTAATTAACATTAATTTATATATATATATGTCATGTCCTATAGAATCAATAGTAAGGAATATCAGTTAACGAAAGATTTGTGATTTTGATTGTGTTTTTTTTTTTATAAAGTTTGATCCGATATCTTCTAAGTCGAGGAATTTGAATCGATAGATGGTTTCACAAAATTTTTTCAGTTTGATTTTTCCGAGCACCAATTATAGATTCGGATTCCTCAATCTTGAAAAAAATCGGCGCTATCGAAAAATACACTTTCCTTGGCGAAACAAAATCGAAGTCACAAATTTTTCATGAATCAATGCTTAGTAACGTGATGGTAATTTATATCCTCTACTATCGACTGAATGAAAATATTGTATGGAACATGATTTATGCATAAATAGAATGTTAAAAATAGGACCAATTTCTTACATGAAATATCATAAAAAAATAGAAGTAATTAAAATTGGTGTTTATTTAATTTATTCGTAATTGAAAGTAAATATAAATTGATACCTCTATACGTAAATATAATTTTGTATGGAGTACATAGAATGATAGAGCAAATAATTCTCTACAAAATGAGACATCTTTGAATTATCTACGGCAGTTTTTAGCTGAGATATAGTAATATTACAGAAGTCCCTATCTTTGTGAGTCTGAATAATAATTTTTATTTCTTTACATCCTTGTTGAAAACCATTTTCTCTATTCGAATCACTATTTGAATTCTTTCTAGCACTTATGGCAGCGAAAAAAGTTGACAGTAAACCTTGTTAAATGATTTTTGTTAAACTCGTTTGTCATTTTATTTGATTATATGATTTTTAAAATAAGATCATGACACATGTTTGTTGGACGTGTTGAAAACGTTTGATTTTGTAAAACACGTTTGCTAATTAATACTAATACCTAGAATGAGATATTTGATTTGGTATCTATTCCACGCACAAATCACATTACATATATCCAATAATGCATAAAAACAAGATAGACCTAAAAAAAGACTAACTCAGTCATTTTTAAAATTTTTCATCGAATAAGCATATTTCTAACGCTTTTTGTTATTAAAATAAAACCGCTAAATATCTTAAAACATTTTGCGTAAGAAAGTTTTTTAATTATTTTTTAGATAGCCACAACAACAACTCCATTTTTAACTAGAGAAAAATTAACTTTCACAACTGAAGAACAACAAAAAAGAATTTGTAGTTAGTTTTTAAACAACATAATTTTGTCTTATCAACTTTAACAAGCAAACGAAATGCTTATCATCGTATAATTAAAGATTTACAAGATTAACATGTATTCATTGGTAAAAAAAAGTAATTAAAACAAAACTTATTTTCATCTTATTATTACTATGCAATATTTTATTATCAATTAAAAACAAGTAAAAACTAAATGAAGTTAAGATTTCTTCAAAAAATATTGATTGATTATAAATGGTTATGTTTCAAGAGTATCAATGCTGATGAGTGAAATTAAAAACAAAGTTACAACTGATTTCTAATAATAGAAATCATTTAAATATGCTATGAGAAAAATTAAGTCTTCTTGTAAATAATCAGAAACCATTAAAGTCTTTCTTTCACTCTCAAAAATTGATTTCCGACTACGTAGATTCAAATCTCATGGAACTTTTTAGGATACATTTTGGTAAAATTTTCAGCTCTATACCCATAAAGTTTGAAGGACATCTTCACCAATCAAGGTCTAAAAATAGTTAATTTAGTAAGCAAACATTTTCTGTGAATCTTCATTCTATAAATTGTATTTTTTCTTTGCTTGTTAAAACATTCCAGAATGCAGATCATGGCAGAATCTTTTTCTTTTATAAAATTTTTACTTTTAATGTGGAGAAAAAAAGGTGATCGATTCAATCTCTAAAAAACCTTTCTAAAAATAGATTACTACTTTTAGAAATATTAGGTATATAACAAAAATAAAGTTTAATTTAAAAAGAGAGGATTCTTTGAAACCATGCATTTTGATATGCTCTTTTAAACAAAAAAAGAAAAAAGAAAATTAAATATATAGAATTAAGGTGTACGATCCAAAAAGCATAAACAGAGAGAAAAAAAAAAGAATATTTTTTTAAGCAGAAGGTAACGGGAATTATCGGAAATCTTGAAGAACAAATGACTTGTTCAATAAAAAAGTCATATTTACTTTTGCAAGATCCGAAATCAAGTTATCCTCACATACATCTATCGTAATTTTAATTAATCTGATGGAAATTGAAATTTTCTTTGAGGATCGGCAACGCGACATCATTTTGCGTTTTAAAGTTTTATATTATTTGATGTTGCCGTCTATGATATAAGAACTTTGTCGTTCTTCACAAATGTTACTATCCAATTCTGCCATAGTGTTTTGCCACTATCGTTTAGTGACATCTGTTATTAGAATAAAATCGATCCAGAAAAGAGAATCATTCTATTTATCATCTAATCATATTGTTTCTTTATAAAATATAATCATCATAAAGAAAAATTTACGAAAGAAACGATTGTGTTTAGTTTTCTTGTTTTTTTTTAATAACTTCAGATAGATCTTCTTTTTTTTCCTGTAAAACAAGTACGTGAATAAATCGGAAAGAAAAGAAACGATCAACTACGATGGAAACTGGAGATTATAATTCGATAGGTTCAAATCGTACAACTAATGATGATCAACAACAACAGCAAGACGGAAGAAGAAATCGAAAAGTTGATTATCGATTTTTAATTCCATCTCGTGATGCTGGAGGTTTGGTTTTTTATTATTACTTTTATTTAAAAAACAAAATTTCTTTCTTATAAAGCAATCATTGGTAAAGGTGGAAAAACAATACAAGATCTTCGCTTAAAACATCATTGTCAAATTCAAATGGCTGATTGTGAATCACCTGAACGTGTTTTAATTATAAATGGTGATCAAAAAGATATACTTAATTGTATATCAGATATACTTTTAAGTATTTATGAAAATCATCAACGATCAACAAAATCTGATCAAAGTGAAATTCGTGCATTGATTCATCAATCACAAGCAGGAGCTTTAATTGGTAAAGGTGCATCAAGAGTTAAAGAATTTCGAGAAAAACGTGAGTTGAAAAAACAAGTAGAATATATGTTTCAAAATGTTAATAATCAGTATTGATTTAGATAATATCGATGTTAAAATTTATCCCCAATGTTGTCCTGGTGGTTCAACAGAACGATGTAAAAATTAAAATATATGTACATAGATATTGTTGAAAACAATGGAGTCTTTTGTTTTTTAGGTATTTCAATGAGAGGAAATAAAGATGATGTTATAAGATGTTTAACTGAAGTTTATAGTGTACTTGATGGTGTACCACCACGTGGACCTTATCGTTGTTATGATCCATCAACATATAATGGTTTTAATATTTCCGATTATGGAGGCTATGCTGACAATCATCAACATTTACGTGGCAATAATCCGTAAGAAAAATTATCTAATTTAAATAAAAAATTTTTTTTTTATAAATATAGCTATGGACAACCACAAGGTTACCCGCAATATGGTGGTGGATATAATCCATTACTTCAACAAAGTGGACCAGTAACAACAACACAAGTAACCATTCCAACAGAATTGGCTGGTAAAATATTTTGTTTCATTTTTTTTTCTTATTTAAATTTTGATTAAATTGCATTAAGATATTTATTTTTATTTGTAGGTATAATCATCGGAGCAAAAGGTTCAAAAATATCACAAGTTCGACAAGAATCAGGAGCATCAATAAAAATTGATTCTGAACCAATGCCTGGTACCAACGATAGATTAATAACAATAACAGGTAATCCAAGTCAAATTCAACAAGCACAATTTCTTCTTCAACAAGCTGTTCGACAATCTGGATTATGGAATCAATGATTATATTATGCAAACATATTTATGATCATGGTGGCAAATCCTGTGAGAGAAACAGATCGTTTCATTTCTTTTTTTTTTTTGTTTGTTTTTAATTCGATTGATTGCACGTATCTTCTTCCGTTTTTTGTTTATGTACGGAGAATAAAGAAAAGAACGAAAATATAATAAAAGCGATCATCCAATCTGAGATATGACTATCAACAAATATTAACATAAGTCAATCATTAATAGAAACAAAAAACGGGTGTCATCCTATTTCGTATGTTATTTAGCTATATTGTTTGTTTTTTCTTATTTCATCTTGTATAAAATTATCATTATTTCTCGGTGCGACCTATGATGGAAATATATCCATTTAAACTATCAAGGTTATTATAATACACCAAGAATGCAGATGTAAATATAATCTTAACGAGGGAATATTTCCAGATGTCAATTTCCTTTTCAGTACATTAAGTAGACCTTATTGCACTATGTCTACCATGAAAAGAGTTCGTGCTTATAACTAGTTCCTTAGGATATCGAAAGATTTTTAGTGGATTTTCGCTCTAGAGGAGTCGACATTGGTAACAAATATTTTCGAATTTCGACTAGAAACTTTGCTCACGTAAAGATTTCAATGAGGCTAATTTGTATGAAAAAATGTTCAAATTTTGGAATAAGCTATCTCCGAGATATGAAGTTATCGAAAAATATAGGTTGTATATAATATCTATAGAATAGAGTATATACCTTGAAAGTTTCGTGTCTTAGATAGACTTAATTCCAAACTCCTGAAATTTTTTATACAAGCTAGTCTATTTGAGTTCTTCATATGGGTCAAATTTTCTGGTAAAAATTCGAGAATACAGTCTTGTTACAAATGTGGAATTCTCTACAGCGAGAATTCACTAAAAAAGCGTTCCATGTCCTCAAAAACAGGTCATAGGTTAAGAGAAAAATCCTTGATATCAAAAACTCTTGCATTAACTTTTTCAGAAAATATCTTTAATTTGATTGGAAAAAAACTGAATTAGAACTATTATTCTCATCCTAGCTATCCCTTAAATTTCTATCATAATTTCCAAAATTAAATGAGTATGTCAACATCTTAGAGTAAAATATCATGTGCAGATGCTGTGCTAACTTCTCTATCATAAGCACGAACTCTTATGTTACACATAATTCTCTAAAGTGTACAAGATTTACAAAGTTCTCAATTGGAACTGAACCCACACATAAGAATGTTCTTCCGTAAATATTAGGATTTCTAAGATATGTTTGAAGTGAACATAACTGAAAGACAGATAAAGACGGATATTTCTTGTAGACTTCTCGTTCTATTGAGAGACTATTGATTGATGAATTCTATTCAATGTAATGTTCGTATAGTACATTAACAATATTATGAATGAAAAGAAAGAAGTATCTCTTATTGTATTATTAATCAAATGAAATATTATCCAGTTACTGAAACATGTCGGTAAGCGAAAATAAATATTGTCTTGTCAAAAAACGATCGAATCCAGTCATTCTATCAAAGATGATATTTTATGAATATATCAAATATTCATTATCTTTATAGTTCGTTTTCAGAAGAAAAATTTTCTTTAAAACTTTATATGAAAATATGAAATCGATACAAATACATTTCACGATGGCACATTTACTAGTGTATTAGTGCTAGCTGTAGCAGTCATAAGGAAAGTTCTCTAACGGATAACTTATCTTTGAGTCAAAACTATATCCATTATTTAGATCTAAGCGAGCTATAAATGCTTTGAAAAGAGTTCGAGCTCTTAGCTTATTTCTGCAGAGATACTGCACTTTTATTGTATTTTTTAAATGAATATTGTAGGCTCCTTTGAGACTACCGAAAAATTTGATAGTGGAATTTCGATAAAAACAAGCCTTAACATGAATAGTTAACCATGAAAATTTCAGATATTTTCGTTTTTCCTATTACAAGACATAGCCATGATGAAGTACATATAGTCTCGAATCAAAAGAGATTTATCAGTTGGAGAATTTTTCTTGTCATATATATAGCATACATGTTATATATATATATTAATTGATATGAATACTAATATCAATATATATGTCAATGAAAATAATCGATCATTACATTTTACAACTCAAAATCACGATGAACAAAAGATGAATATTATATATTAACATTGATTAAACATGAATCGAATATGAGTGTATTTAATTGCACAAGTTATATTCTAATTATACTTGATCAATGCATGTAAGAATAACAAGATGATAGTTATGATCAATGTACTTTTTTTTAATCTCAGCAAATGACATTTTGCTTGATAGAAATTTAAAAAAAAAAAAAAATAAACGTTTCTCGCTCTTACTCGCTCACACATCAATCTATTCTTTATGTACAAAATCAAGAAAAAAGAAAAAGAAAAACCAAGAAAATTTACAAAACAGGATATGTGAAAAAAGGATAAAACAAAACAAGCAGATGATTGTTGAATGCCAAACAAGTTGCTTCTCTTGTACAAAAAGAAAAGAAAAACAAAAAGAAACATCGGTGGTCGTCATCACTATTGTAAAAACATACCGGACAAAACAAGTGCTTTTTTTTTTGTTTCATACTATGATGAAAGTCACCGGAAAACATTTAACAAAGAAAACAAAACGCTTAACTATACTAATCTTTCACGCGGATATCATATATGTACAAATGTTTTCTTTTTCTTAAATATTAAGACTATAACTTCGTTGTTCTTTGAGAGTATGTAAACGTTCCATATCATTTATTATTGTTTGGACAAAACCATCAGTATTACCAGCTACTGGTTGATCTGAAAACAAAAATAATAGACAATGTTGAATATCATTTCTATTGGTATGAATAACGTACTGTATTTTTTAGCAATAAGTTGATCAAGTGCAGCTTCCAGTGATTGACTTGGGGATGATGATGGTGACCTAAGTTGACCATTGTGATATCGTTTAAGAATAATTAATTTTATTGCTTCAATTAGATCGTTTAATGATTCTAAGAAAGAAAAAAAAAACAATATTTCTAGTTTATTTGAATATATGCATTTCTATGAAGGCGTATAAGTAACTTGACAACAAGATATTAACAAAACATTTGGCGTAGAGCCAAATAGCTTTGTATAAAAGAAAAATAAACGACTGTCAAAAACAAATATATAATACAGAAGAAATCGTCGATGTCAACGTGAAGTCGTTCTTTTTTTTTGCCGTTCTCTCCTTTTATCAAAGAAATAAAAACAAAATGACTCACTATGCTCTTCATTGAGGCCATGTAGTTTAAGCTTGTTTGCTTCATGTTGAGCTTTTTTACGAAGTCGGCATGCTCTTAACAAGAAATAATTGGTATAAAAAAAATAACTAGGTTACTTCTATCGTTAAATAGAGACCTGCTAGCAATCTTATTCTTTTGTTTTTTAACTTCACTTGTATCATTACTATTTGTATGATGATCAACATGATATATTCCATGATAAACAGATGCTGAATTATTTGAAAGATCACGAATTTGTTTACCAAGTTGATATAGTTTCGTTGGATTTGGTGTAACATCATTTCCATCACCTTTTCTAAGTTTATTAAATGTTTGTCCTTTTGTTTGTGTTAATTTTATTTGATAAACAGGATCACTAAATTCACGATATAAATGTGGATCACGCTCTTTTAAATAAAGTATTCGTTTTGTTTTAGGTCCTTTTGATTGAACATTATATTGCCAAAAAAGGGATGATGCTGATGAATTTGTGTCAGATGATTTTCTTAAACTTGCCGATACAGTTGTTTCATCATCTGATGTAATATCATTATCTTGAATATGATCAGAAGAGTTTTGTTCAATATCGGACCAAAGATCCGGTTCACTTTGTTGTTCGATAGTGTCAGTTGGACTATGAGGATCATCTAAATGAAAATAAAAAATAAAAAGCGAATTCAATTGATTTTATTTTTCAATATTTTACCTTTGATTTCTGGAACAGGAAAATCAACTAAAGATAATCGTTTTCGAGTTTTATACGTTGAATCTTCTTTTGCTGATTGATTTAGTGAATATAATGTTTGTGATTGAATATTGATTTCATTTGGGAATCTTGCTTGATTACGTTGATGTATTGCTGATGAACCATTGAAAGATGATGATAAATTTCGATTTGTACGAACTGATTCTTCTTGATTTTCAACTTCAGAAAAAGAATTTGATGTTGGTCGAATATTATTAACGATAGCCCATATTTGATTTGATGAAACATCAGTTGGAGGCGTTACTTTATCTTGATACGAAGACGGATCGATATAAGTTGCAGATCTCAAACGATATGGATCGAATAAATGAGAATCTATATATAAAAATAGAATAGTTTTATTTTCAGTTTTAATTTGAGTCAAATAGATCTTCACAAACTATAACACAAAGTTACTTTACAAGATTATTTTATATAACAATGAATCAGTTAGACAGATAAGCCTATGCAAACTGAATTTCTCGTTTGAATAGAATACAAAAGAAAACTGAGAAGTTCATCAAATTTCTCTGGTATTGTAAAATTAGTTAGTTTTAAACTATTCATTATATAGCAGTCAATAGCAAGGATTATCTAAAGAGTCTGTTTCCTTTTATCAGCATATCAATTATGATATGATTGGCAAAGAATGTCAAACTGTTTTGAGGATATCATTCGTCGCATTGTCTATATTCTCAAAAACATTGACAGCGTTTTGGTCCTCTCTTGTGCTTGTATATTATCATTAGAGAAGACTATTTACTAATAGTTTTCTTACAAGAAATCATATGATTGACTTAAAGATGATAGAAAATCTCAAGATGTCCAGTTGTTTGTTTGTTTCTAATTTTTCTGATTCATTGTCAGTTTTTCTAAATTAATACTCATATTCAATCCGATATTATGATGTGCTAAAAATATATCATGATCTTATTTGTCATCTCAACACATCGGATTGAAACATAATTTAAAAAAAATTATTTATAATCCATAAGAAGAGATTAGAGTTTATATATTCGATAGACATGTAAACTACTAATATCTACTAAGAATAAATTCTAAAAAAAAAAAAAAAATTACCGAATTTATTATGTTGTTGTTGTGATGTTGGTCCTTCATTCATACTAGCTGATCGAAAACGTTTAACATCGGATGGACCATTTGTATGACTTTGTATTTCAAATGGATATGATCGACCAAGAATAGAATTCTCTTGTTGTTGTTGTTGTTGTTGAACATAAGGTGGTGGGTTTAAATTACTTGATTGAACAAATTGTTTAAAATGATTATTATTTAAACTTAATGTTATAAATTTTGGACTTATATCAGATGATGAATATCCTGATGTTCTTGTTGTATTTGATTGAGAACTATTATTAGTATTATTATTTGTAAATGTTGTAGGCGTTGTTGAAAGATCATTTATATCCAATGGTTGAGTATAACTTGATGTTGTGCCTGTTGATGAGGGATTTTCAAGTAAATCAGATATGGAATCTATGTCAAAATCAAGTGGTGTAACATATAAAGAATCATCGAGTAATATAACATCTTCATGTTCATGTTTCATTATTTCATCGATTTCATCACAAAAAACATTTGTTGATGGAGTTTGATCAGACCATTCTGGCATTGTACGGTCTTTTAAATTTGATTAAAAGAAAAAATAAAATAAAATAAACATTATTAAACATAAAAAGAATATTTACTCGAAGGAAACATTCCTAAAATATCATTTGCTTGACTGAATCCAATCATAATTAATCTAAAAATATGCACTTAAAGATCGAAAAGAAATGTTATCGGTATATACCAAAGATAATTTTCTTACAACGGAAGAAAAAAGAGACATAATGATATTCTCGAGAACGAACTTATTCTTTTTTTTTTAAAGCATTGAATGATTATCAACATTTGTCAAATATGAAAAGAAATATGCGAAAGATATCACTTTCTTTAGTATTTTCACATGATTGAATGAAGAAAAGAATCAGCACGTGTAGGGTACATATGTGATTATACATATATATAGAAATAAAATATATTTCTAACTTAGTATTTCTGTCTTGTGAAGTTCATTAAAGGTTAAATAAAAAAACAACCACGAACCAATCGTATAGTAATTGATTGATTGTGTTTTTCTTCTTTCTTTTTATAGTACGAGGTTGTTAGAGTATTTTTACTGCACGTAAACATACGCTTTATATGAATGTGTTCTGTAAGATAGGAAACAAGCAAAAAAAAGGGCTGTATGTAAAGAAAGAAAGAAAGAAAGAAAGAAAGAAAGAAACAAGAAGAAAAGTCGAGAACCTCCTGTTTCTATTCAAGCTACCTCTCTCTCGCAAGTATTCATTTCATAATATTCTACAGAATATTGTCACGTAGAAAATAGATATTACTGTTTAGTTTTCATGTTTTGAAATAAACAACACATTAAATACCTTTTTAATCTTACGTTAGTTTTAACACTCTAATTACTAGAATGTATTGAACTCAAATTATGCTAATTGTACTAGAAAACACTCGAAAGACTATACCCAAACAAACTGTGAATTATATAGCTGACGACATAATGACTTACTGGTATATATTTATATTGATTCTCTTTCTCATGTCTCCTTTTTTTTTTTCTTTCTATGAGTGTACGACGAGGAGGACATCGAGTACACAAGCAAATTTTAGAGAAGTTACTTGCACTACATTCGCTGATTGTATATCTTATGAATAAAAGAAAAAAGAGAAACAACTGCAAGAAAATAGAGTATACGATTGTAATTTCTATTACTATGAGTAAGATGCTATTTACTTTAGAACGACGAAAACAGATAGACCAGTTTTGGTGCAAGACTAGAAGAGAAAAAAAGACATCAATGACCTTTTACTTTCTGTGTACACTTATCTTGTGCTTATTCAATGGAAGAAGAAAGAGGTGTGGCGAAAAAAAAATTCCGTGTATTTTATAGAATTAAACAATAGAAAAAGAAGAGCTCGATACGACAACTACAACGAATAGAATCTCTCATCCGTGATCACATCTTATTAGTTCATTTCTTAATCAATAATTGAATAATGGAGGTTAAAGAGTTAAAAAACCAATATGGCAAAAAGCTCTTTCTATTGGCTGATTATTGTACGTCGCTACATTCAACTTGAATTTGTCAGCATACATAGCGTTGATTTCTAACAATCAACAGTATCAACCAAACATCATTCTTCAATGAAAATCATCATTTATATTCTTTCTTTCTCATTGACGAACCTATTAAAAAAACCTAATTGAGTCACATAACGGGATACGTCGTATTCGAATTAATTCGATCATATGAACCCAACTTCTGCCAATAGTGGCAGTTTGGTATGTATTTTAAGAAATCAATATTGTAAATTATAATAAATTGTTTTTTTTTCTTATTCAGGGTTTGAATACTATTGTTTCAACACTAGTTCAAAATCCTTCAACGTAAAAAACTCAATTATTTATAAATAAATAATTGTCAATCATTTTATTTTAGTCGACAACCATCAACAGCAATTGTTTCTAATATACAAAACGCATCATCGCCTGTAAATCTTTTTGCTAATTTACCTGGTGGTATTTTTCCACCAAATAATACTAACAATAATAATAATATTAATTCATCAACTGCCAATCAAGGGCAATTAACATCATCAGTAACTTATTATTATATATTTAAATTTTCTATATATTTTCTATATGTTTTTTTTTCCATAGCGCCTTAAAGTGGAGGATGCACTCAATTATCTCGATAAGGTAAAAAACCAATTTGCGCTTCAACCGCAAGTTTACAATCAATTTTTGGATATTATGAAAGAGTTTAAATCACAAAGGTAAATTCAAATTCATGTTTTTTTTTTCTTTTTACATTAAACTCATTTCAAAATTTTTATTTAGTATTGATACACAAGAAGTTATTAATCGTGTATCAACACTCTTTCATGGTCATCCAGATTTGATTGTTGGTTTTAACACCTTTTTACCACCGGGTTATAAAATTGAAGTTAGTGAAGAACATCATGGTTATATACAAGTAACACATCCATCATCACGAACAGAATCAATTGCTATTGGTGGTAATACAAATACAACATATAATTTATCTATAACAACACCAACAACAACATATCGACAAACAGCTAATTTATTAAATCAAGATAATGATGAAACAGATATTTTACAACAAGCATCAAATAATGCAACATCACAAGCTGTTAATGCCTTAATATCAGCTGCTAGTGCACCACAAATACCATATTTTGGAACAACAGGTGGTTTAAATTTATCAACAAAAACAACTAAACAACAACCAATAACAAATGTAAATACATCAACACAAGCAACAACAGTTGAAAAAAGTTCAAGTGGACAACCAGTTGAATTTAATCATGCTATAAATTATGTTAATAAAATTAAAAATCGTTTTCATCAGTAAGTTTCTTTTTTTTAGTTTTATTAATCATAAAACTTTTGTTAACACAGTAGATTTAGAAGTAATACAGAATATAACAAGTGAAAAATTTTAATTAGACTATAGTTGTTTTCTAAGAAACACAATTTATCTTATTGATTTTTACATTCGAGCTGTTAACTGACGACTTTTTTTTCGGATTGATCTGTAGGATATATCAAACTGACAGATATTTCTGTTTTCTGAAATTGACGAAGTTCTATAATCTTAGTATAATGTATCATTCTTGTCAAATAAGCATGTTGTACATATCCATTATATCTACAGCAAGTCTTACAAGGGAAGTATTTTAAATGATTAATTGACTACATGTAGACTCTAATGAAATATGAATATTCTGAGAAAAATTCGGGCTCTTAGTTTACTGTTACCGAAATACTGCACTTTTATGAGTTTTTAAAATTTGATGCTGCATTTTCTATTGGAATACATCATTTTAGAAATTCGACTTGAAAGTTTGAGATATTTTCATTGGTTCTATCTTAAGGGATGGCTATGATAAAAGCTTGTCTTTTACTTTGCTCATGTACGCTGCAGAGTTGATGTTCTGATTTTAGAAAAGAAGCAAACTTTCACAAAAAAAAACTTTTCTGATGAAAATTTGTTTGAAGTCAAAATTCGAAAACGAATTTTATTAGTGTTCTTGAGAAGGACTACATTATTGACTTAGAAAAGGTTACAGTATCACAGCAGCATTAAACTAAGGGACCGAACTGTTTTTTCCGAGTTTTCATAGTTTAATTTAGTCTTTATGATGTATGTAATTCAGGTTGCAAAGTGTTTAATTTGTTAGGAGATTTCCCTCGTCTGCACACACAATTAAATAATTTGATCAGTTCCGGTCTTTTATATCGATCATATGATAATTGTAGCAAATCAATGCATTACTCTCAGATCATTCTCAAACAGTGTAAGCCTTGTTGTTAATATCGTTCCGTGACTTTTTTCCTTGCTAAGGAAGTTTGATGTCTGCGTTCTCGGCTGCCGTGAAAATGTACTCATTGACATCAGTAGGATCAATACTTTTTTCATTGGAAACGATACCTTTTATGATCCTAGTCATGTGTACCTCCCACCTTTGACCTTCATTGATATGAAAAAAGGGAGCCACAAAATCTCGACTTAAGTGATGCTTACAATATTTTTGTTTGAAAAACATAATGTCAATTTCAAATAACAACCGATTTCTATTGATATTGAAAAGAATATTATTCTTAATTATTTCTACATAGAAAATCTTTCCTAACAGATTTTAAAAGTATTAGTTGAATAGAAATTTCTTTTTCGAAAGATGAAGTATTAAAGAACAAAATTTGATTTTCTTCTAATTTATTATTCTATGTTGAACTTTCATAGCAAATAAAATTTTTTGTTCATATTTCAGAAGTCCAAATATCTACAAAACATTTCTTGAAATTCTTCATACATATCAAAAACAACAAAAAGATGCTAAAGAAATTCCTTCGAATAATTTAACAAATAATAATGCATCGACAATATCAAGTGGTATTAATAATCAATCAACCTTACTATCAGAAACAGAAGTTTATGCTAAAGTAGCACAATTATTTACTAATCATGAAGATCTTCTCGCTGAATTTAGTCAATTTTTACCTGATGCTACACAACAACCAACTGTAAATTATAAATTTAAAAAACAAAAATTTTATTTTAATTTTTTTTTTAGGAACGTTCTAATTCCATTTCTGATATTCTATCATCATCTGGTAGTTCAACTCCACCTATATTTTCAACTCAAACAAGTTCAATTTCAACAACAACACCAACAAATACAAATCCAATTGTAACTAATCCAACACCACGTTTAATAATAAATAATCCTGTTTCATCATCAATAACAACAACATCATCATCATTTTTAACAATAAATAATAATTCAAATTCATCTCCATTATCATCTTTAGCTATGTTATCATCAGCACCATCATTTACAGTATTAACATCAACAACAACTAAAGATGAAAGTATTCGTCCACCATCACCAAAACGACCGACAACAACAACAACAACGACGACAATAGCAGCAACACCAACAACAATAACAAATACAACATCGACTAGTACGAATAATATGCCTAATAAACGATCAGCTTCAACATCAAAATCACCAGCAACAACAGCAACAAAGAAAAAACGTTTAACAATGACAAATAATATACAACCAATATCACCAACAATTCGACCGACAAATATAGTTGAAACAACAACAATAGGACAAAATAAAAAAACATCATCAATTGATGATGTTGCTTTTTTTGAAAAAGTAAATTATTATTTTTCTTTTTGTTTTGAATTAATGTTTTAATTTAATATTTTTTAAAGGTACAAAAAACATTGCGTAGTCCATTAGTATTTGATAATTTTCTACGTTGTATTTTACTTTATACAAAACGAATTATATCTCGTAATGAGCTATTTGAACTTATACAATCTTATCTTAGGTAAAAGAAAATAATATGATGAAAAAAAAAAAAAAATTTTAATTTGGAATCTTTTTTATTTTTAGTCATGTACCTGATTTATTAAAAACATTTCAAGAATTAATTAATCAACGTGAACCGGGAGATGTTATTATACCAAAAAGTATCTATGATCAAAATGATACTGATAGTATGATTAGTATTGGTAAGATTCTATAACAAACAATGATATTTATTTGACGTATTCGAGTATTTCAATCAGATGTTTAAAATATGATCTAAGCTGCATAGAAAGAGTTGCTGTTTTTAAGACCAATAGGTTTTAATAAAAAAAAAAACCATCAGAGATTTATTCACATAAACACTCTGCAGGGCTACTAGAGAACATTTAACTGAGAATACGAATGAACTCTGAGATTATGATTTTCTGCTAATATAGTTAAAATGTTTTATATGCTATCAATTTATAAATTTCGATAGCTTCTGTTAATATTAATTTTATTATTTGTTTTACTAAATCGAAAATAATTTTCTCTTGTTCAGACTATGGTTCATGTTCTCAATATGGAACAAGTTATCGTTCAGTTCCACGTTCTTATATACCACCACCATGTAGTGGTCGAACACAATTATGTAAAGAAGTTCTTAATGATCATTGTGTTTTATTTCCAACATTTACGGATGAATCATCATCAGTTGCATCAAAAAAAAGTGTTTTTGAAGAACATATGTATAAAATTGAAGATGAACGTTTCGAACTTGATATTGTTATGGAAGTTAATTTAAGTGCTATAAGAGCATTAGAAAGTGTACAATTACATATGAATTCATTAACATCAGATCAATTAAATCATTATCAATTAGATGATCACTTAGGTGGACAATCAGCCGTAACACAAAAACAAGCTGTACAAAGAATTTATGGTGAACGTGCAAATGAAATTATTGATGGATTAAAAAGAAATCCACGTGTTGCTGTACCGATTGTTCTTAAACGGTTGGTAAAAAGAACAATTATTTATTTTTATTTTTTTTTGCATATAGATTAAAAGCTAAAGATGAAGAATGGCGTGAAGCAAAGAAAAATTTTGAACGTTTTTGGAAAGAACAAAGTGAAAAATATTATCTTAAATCATTAGATTATATGGGAATAAATTGTAAAAATTCAGATGCAAGAATTATTCGTAATCGATATTTATTAAATGAAATTGAAAATATCAAAGAAGAAGTAACAAAAAAAAAATATAATTTATTTATTTTTATTTTTTCTTGTTCAATTAGCGTGATCAACAAACAATATCAAATCCTAATCAATCACATTTATCATTTCGTTATGAAGATTTATCTATACTTGATGATGCTGCATCTTTAATTGTTTTTCTTGTTAAACGACAAATGACATTTGCAAAAGAAGATAAACAGAATATCAAAAAAATTATGTATCAATTTTTACCAGATTTTCTATTTACACCAAGAGGAGAACTTAGTGATGATGAAGAAGGTAATTATCTTTTTGTTTTATTATTCAAAAGAATATTATCTAAAAGTTAAGATGAATAAGTCAAAGAGGATATTTTATTTTTATCAGTCTGATAGATAATCTAAATATATAACATGACTAATGAGAGAAGTCTTTCAAGTTTACAATCGTTTTTATATCCATACTATTTGTATCATGTAGGTTCTAATGATTTATGAATGTTCTATAATGATTCAGAATTCATTGCTTATTGCTGCCGAAATTTTACATTATTACAATATTATTTAGTAGAATGATGTGGTTCCTTTCGAGAATTACTCGTAGAGCTAAGCAAGTACGAGTTTTTCTCGAGTATGAGTACGATGTCAATAGAATAAATTTAAATGATCAATGTTTATTTAAAATTTTCTTTTCTATAGACGATGATGAAGATGAAAGTAAACGTGATAAAAAATCGCGACCAACTCGTCATACTGATACAAATCGAAGACGTAATAATGAATCATTAACAGCTAAACCTCGTCAACTTGCACAAGAATATCAAAAACCAGTATGTAACATTAAGTTATGTTATTTTATTATTTGTTGATCAATTTTTTTTTCTTATTAGGATGATATGTTTCATTTATTTTTTGTAAATGATAATTATTATTTTTTCTTTCGTCTTCATCAATTATTATGTGAACGTTTATTAAAAATGTTTCAACAATCATTACGTTTAATTGAACAAGAAAGTCGAGAATTAAATGAAAATAATTCACAACGTAATAGACAACCATCTGTTGCTACTTTACTTCGTTTAGCAAATCGTCGTAAGTTAATTATAATTAAATACAAAAAAAAAAATAAAATAATATTCTTATTATTTTTCTAGCAAATATACCTGTTGATGATTATTATCCAGTATTTCTTGATATGGTAAGAAATTTACTTGATGGAAATATGGATGGTTCATCATATGAAGATTCATTACGTGAAATGTTTGGTATTCATGCTTATATTGCTTTTACAATGGATAAAATTATTCATAATTGTGTTCGACAAGTATGAAAACAAAAAAAACAAAATCTTTTTTAATATTATTTTTTTTCTTCTTAGCTTCATGCTATAGTAACTGATGAATCATCCGATGCAATAATGCGTTTATATTCACGTACTAGTGGTACAGGGGGTCTTGTTGATAATCTTTATTCAACAACACAACAAAATTCCGAAGCTGCTTATCAACGTGAAATGGAACCATATGCAGATGGAAATCGTTTATTTCGTGTTTGTTCGGTATGTTAATTTTATTTTGCTTAAATATCAATCTATCATCAATATGAAAATTTACGAGAAAACATTCAACTGTCGTATGCTGTTCGACTATAAGTAGTTTTCGATAAGATTAAGAAATATTTGAAAGAATTCAGATTGATGACCTATTGATAAAGAATTATAGCTTTTGTAACCCTAACACGATCACTTCTTGTCCACCACGAAGATCTCGAATGATTAAATAAGTATAATATAGGAAGCTGTTTTTAATTCATCATTGACAAGTTAAAAGAATAGTTGACTAAAAGAACAAAAACAGGAGCAGTAAGTTTGAAGTATATTAATATCGTCTATTTTTGATATGTTTGAGACTGTTATATGGCTACCTAGCATTCGCACTAACTTTGAATTGTTCTATTTTAACAGAAATCAGTGTGCATCTAGTGTATAACATTCGAAGAAATTTCGATGGTGTTCAGGCGAACTTCAAATAGTCGACAATCGTTTACATGTACTTCGGAACAGTCTATTCATATTAATACAGTGGAGCTTAATTGACTGGTATTATTAGTATACTCGACTAGTCTTCACTAGAGCATATGTGAAAGTTGTGCATTTTCATCTAATATTATGTAGTTATAACAGTACGATGGAACTGGCTAGAGACCACCTGAACCTCAGGTGATTGTGTGAGGATTAATGAAATTTCTATTGAGAGTAAAGCATTTCTGAAAAATCTAAAATAAAGAGTTGTGACCTCAAAAGTTTTAAGGAAAACGAATATGTTCCTGGCGAAACATTCAAGTAGGCTCGATTACTGTTTTTTCTTTTCGAGAAAGGCTTCATTTTCATTGAAAATCTCAGGTCGAAACTCGTTATTTTGTATTTTATTTTTTTGGAAATGTCTTACTCTCAATCAAGACTTCATTAAAACGGCTATATTACTTCATCAATAGGTCTTCAGTTGATTAACGAGAAAACTTCCACAGGTATCTCCTTTCGAGTTCAATGTTTTCTTTTTTTTGCCTATAAATACTATAATGTATTCTAGTGAAAATCTTAGAAGGATTTAAATTCCTATTGAGATTTGTCGGAACTATTGAATTTTCAATATATCTATTTGTCGAAGGTCTCTATAGGAATCGAAAGTTTCAGTAAATTTGTGTTTTTTCATTAGAATGTCTTGTATGGAATACTAAAATGCTATGTAGTGTCTATAGACAAAAAATGTCATTGAAATCGGCTTAGTACATCTAGTTACGTTCCGCTCGAATCGAAATCAAGTTACATTAGTTTAATTGAAGACTTTTGTTGTATACATAATTCTTATTTAGCTTAAAAATGATCGACGTGTAGCAACAACATTGATTGTTATTGATTCATCGGATGATGAAGATGATGAAAGAATATCTGAAAATTGGACACATTATGTTGAATCATATATACGTGATAATGAAGGTGATCATGATGAAGCAATAGTAGCACGTATACGATCTAAATTACGAAAAAATCCACGATTTTTACTTCGGTAAAATTCAAAAAAAGAAAAATATCAATTTTATTCGTTATTCTTTTTTGTTTTATTTATTTAAATAGAAATATTAAAAAACCAATTGATATGACTGATCGATCATTAACAGAAGTAACAACAACTAATAATGATTATTGTCGTCTTGATACAAAAACACTTAAACGTAAACCATATCATCGTGCTGATTTCTATTTTTATAAACGAAATTCATCACGTTCAACAAAACAAGTAGAATTTTAATTTATTTAATAATTATATTTCTATATTGTTTTTTTTTTCTATTTAGAATCATAAACGATTGTCTCTCAGACAATATAATCGTTTTTTGAAATATTATCAAGATTGGTCTTCAAAACATATATCAGATATTGATACTGATCCATTTAATAATCTTTGGCTTAAAACACATCGGTCGAATAATAATAATAATAATAATGAACAAAAAAATTTCGACATTCAATCAATATTTTCAGATAATGATATAACACAACCACCATATCGTCATTATCGACAATATCAAATTGTTAATACATAGAAACTAAAACATATATATATGTTTATATTTTTCTTTTCGATCATGTGTCTCTGCATATGTTGTATTTTACTTCCAGTCATTCTATGTATCATAGACACATGTTTAATGTTTTTCTTCGATCTTGTTTTTGTTGTTTTCTTGTCGTACTATTATAACATATGCTTGTACATGATAAATTCTATTAAACTATTAACAAAAAAAGAACAAACATTTTATTCTATAACACCTTTCTAAACAAAATCGCGACACTCTCTCCGGCCAACTTTGATTGCTTGGAATCAACTATAGAAGAGAGCATTTAGAAAAATTAGAGAAATACTATTCAGTTAAAATTGTAAAATTAGAGCAAGTTCTAGCGCAAATTTCACAAGTAGGAGAAATATATCGATCTGCTTACGAGCACACCTTTATTTTAAAATCAAATTTCTTCCAATCAGTCCTTCTTATTTCACGATGTTTAGATAGAACTATAGCATGCTCTTGAAGAAAAACATCGACTACAACTGAAAAACGGTGTTTTTCTTCTAAGTAAGAATCTTGAATTTCAAAAAACAAATCTGATTATTTATTCTAGAAACAATGGTTTTCTATGTCAATCATTAGATTCTTTTTCTTTTCGTGTCTGTTACTCGCTCGCTCTGAACATCTATTTTATCCTTACACGTCCTTGTTTCATATAAATAGAACAAAACATAATCATTGACAACATACCATTTTCAGATAACTTTAATCAAACTAATATGTGCAACGAAGGATAGGATAATGTGAGATCGATATCGATTGTCGCGTACATCTTGGGTCGTGCTTCGTGCGTCTTTTAGATTGCATTTCTTCTCTTATATACATGTTTCTTATCTGTAGTTCTATACTTCTTCTCAATCTTTTTGCGTGGTTTTGTATTCTTGCCAGAGAGATCCAAATTTCTATTGATATACGTAGAAAGGCATGCATATTGAGAGGTTTGTGATATAGGGTTATCAACGTTTTCGTTTTTGAGAGTTTCGTTCTCCAGAAACAGGAGTGCCTCTCATACTACATTTTCCAGCATTGTTCCAAAATGGCAATGTTTGTAAACATGTTCGCTTGTCTTTTTATTTTTGGCGTTTCTGTTCCTAATAACAGAAACTTTCCGGGTCCATTGAAGGAAAGATGATATTCTTAAGACAGCAATTTTCTAAAAAGTTTCACGAGAGATCCTCGTGGTCGAGGAATCCACAAACGAAGCTTGTCAGTGGAATTATGTTGACGAGCGTGTGAATCAGTACATGAGTGATTGCAACTTTGGACAGACTTAGATGTTGAACAAATTTTGTGAAAAGCTTGCTGTTAAAAATTCTTCACAAATAGTTATTATTGTGTGAGTCATTTTCTGGTTCAATTACTTTAATAAAACGTATTGATAGAAGTTACACTTGTTTTCTTACTTTTGATCGCCCTGTATTTTTTAGGCTTTTGAACAAATTCCTACATCTAGATACTGATTATATTCTGTGTCTTTGGATTATATAACGTGGTATATGTGGTAAAAATATGAGATCTAACTGAGTATGTACAAAGAAAAAACGAAAAACTTATTTCTCCTATTACTTAAGCCACTATCTATATATAATCAAACATTTGATTTTTTAATAAATTAGCACCAAAAATTGATTGTTACTGAAGTTGATTTTATTTTGGTTTTTATTAATTTCATTATACATTGATGATGAATAGTGACAAATTTTTATTTATAAATAATGAAAAAACGAACGAATCATTTGAATTTGAAATTTTCTATTGTCAAAGCTAAATGAATGAATGACTAAATGAATGCTTTTTTTTTAGTTCATTTTCATATTTATTTATGATTGACTGAGATCCAAGAACAAGACTTCTCGGTTGAAGTTTGTCTACACGGCCGATGTATGGGCTGATCATCTAAAAATTCATTAGATCGATGAACATTTTTTTCAATAATCTTTTTACAATAATTATGATAGGATGGATAGAATTGAATATAGATTAAAAAATGGTCTTCAATGTTCTATTTGATTTTGAATTATTCAAAAAATAAGTTGTTGTGCTATTGATTTATGTTCTGATGATTAAATAAATGCTCTCAAACATAAAATAATTCGATTATACTTAAGATTCATTTGAGGTATACTAAGTACATAATCATTAGTTTACTGACAGATATTTCCACCATTGATTGATTGATTTTTCAATACATTCACCTTACTACCCATTGTTTTATGTTAAAATCTTTCCTTAATCAATGTATATTTCATAGCGCTTTATTTTCGTAAAGTCGATTTTCAGAATAATACACAAAAACACTTCTTAATAATGGAAACCCATTTCAGAGCACAAAAGTTACGTATCTTCCTGCTTCATTGAAGTTGCCCACTGTGCCATAGTCTATGGCGAGAGTTCAGTGGACAATCAGGCGTCAAAATCGATTTTCAAGATTTAAGTCTACATCATAGACTACTGCGGTGCTGCATTTAGTGCATCCCGAATGCTGCTTTATAATGAGTCTCTGTTAAGCAGCAGGTACCACAACGTACATAAAGTTAGTGACTATCATTAATAGGACCATATAAGTAAATTGAATGTTTTAAATTGAGGATCTAATTATAATCATTAGTTATTATATAGTTATACAGTGATATGTATTTACTATTTATTACAGATCATTTGAAGTTCTTGAGGCTATAATTGGATCAAAAACTTACACTCAGTACAGTAAAAAAATAACCACTGGTCAATAATGCAGTTATTTTCCAGGAACTTTAATTCGATTTGTTATTTGATAGAGTATATCATCATCATCTATCTTCAGTGGATGCAGAAAGATGCGCATTTAAACTCTTGTCAAAATAGAGTGTCTCAAATGTAATCTTCTATCAAAATTTGTTTGCAATTTTTTTTACAGTGATCATTCATGGTCTAGTCTATCAAGTTTCGAAAAGATAAATATACAGCACACGTACACCAACCTTAGGTTTTAGATTAGCCATGTTATTTTAAAATTGATTCTTTGACTCTTTCTTAGGAAATAAATATACGAAAAAATCATGCATAAGTTCCCTTGTAAGATGTACACACTCAAGCAAAAATTTTTTCTCCTCTTTATCTTTTAATAATGTCAAATTTTGTATTAAATTTAATACTGAGTAGAGATATCATATGAAAGTTTATTTGATTTTATTATACAGATCACACTAATAAAACTCTCATGCCATATCTTTACACAGTAATAAATTTGATGCAAATTATAGCAGCATAAAAGGAGAAAAGACTTTTTCCGAGTGTGTATATGATTTATTTCATACTTTTATAATTTTTCCGTTCGTAAAAATACAACGAGTTCCACGATCTTTCTAAATTTCACTCGAAACGGATAATGTTAGTGGAAGTGAATAATTTTCATAATAAGAACTAACAAAGATTGCGATGCATACTATGAATATCGGAAAATTTAGAATTTAAACAGAATTTCAGAAAATATGAAATATTCGAAAACTCATCTTACTATGTTTCAGGACATATTATAGAATGATTTCAAAATTCGCATAACATTTATAAAAAATTTGTACAACAAACCAGAGAGATATTGCTGAAACTCGCGAAAATTACTATAAACTGAGTCGAAGTATTTCCGTTATTCCTTTATTTTTTGACAAACTTCATAGTATCAGTGAGCTCATGCACATATCACAAATAGACTTGTATAAAACCTGAACATTTGAATTTGACAAATTTTCTTCAATACTTTTTAACTCGAGTTTGTGCACTTTTTTCCATCATCATCTGTACATTTTCAGAATGTTATATGATGCATTAAAAAAAATGAAAAAAAAAAGGAACTGTCTTCTATGTAAGCATTCACCTAGCTAAAATTATTAATTAAGCTTGACTGTTATTTGTCACTAATATCGGTGAATCAGATCATAAGTGGCTAATATCAGTAAAAAAATACAACTGTACAATCAATCTTTGTAAAGATTATATGCCTTTTTAAAAATTTTAGTCTATCCTTCTTGTATGCAAAACTCTAGTGCTTCTGAGATGTATGTATCGTCTGCTTACTAATTTATTTATAATTTACTATCAGAAGGATTTTGCCAAGTAATAAACTACTAAAAGACATATTTTTTCTAAAGATTTTTGACATATACGTATATGTGTGGTCCACTACAGCCACACAGTGAACTTTTCTTTAAGTTTTAAGATTTTACATGTACATAATTTGCATCCTTATTATTATTTTTTTCTGCAAGGATCCAAAAGTTAACAACAAATTAGTGATGATAATCTGCTTCAAGCTATTGAAGAGTAATTAGTCCATGGCAGATTTATATAATACACAGTTAATAAGTGTATCAAGTATATGAAAAACAAATCGTTGTTTCATTTTTGCTAAAGAACATTATAATGGAAGAACTCAGAGATGGGCAACTCCAACTCGGAGTTGGAGTTAACTCCGGAGTTGCCACTTTTTTTCACTAGAGTTGGAGTGGAGTTGGAGTTGATTTTATTAATTTATAGGTGGAGTTGGAGTGGAGTNTGTATCCAGGAGAGCTAGAGAGGGCTGATTCTCGTCCTACGATGGTTTGGACCAGTGGCTGTGCTCCCCTCCCTAGAACTTTTTTCTAGTTATACTACTACTGTATATATAATAATAATAAGAGTAAAAATAATAACGAATTACTTTTCTTCAATGAAATATTAATTTTTTTTCTTACTTTTTCAATTTTTATTATTGATAAAAAAAGTATTACAACAATAAGAATAAACATATTGAGATAAAAGAATATTATTTGATTGACAAAAAAACAATTTGAATAAAAGATCTTTCGAATTTATCACTATGAAGTGATTTTTCTAAAAGAAATTTATCAGAATGAAGTATGAGTATGATCAATGCTTTGGCAAATAATGTGCAAGATCAATTGCACACAAGCCAGAGAATTCATTAGTAAGTTGTGAGTTTACAGATGAGAAAGATTGAAAGTGAATCATACGATATATTTTGACAGTTACTCAAGTTGTCAATGATCAGATGATTTCTAATTCTGTTGTACTGATTCAAATGATGCACAAAAGTGAATCATAAACAGAATACATCTATTTATACAGAATTTACTACTACAAAGAATAGTGCCGATAATGGATATCACTTAGAACACTGAGTTTATGGATAGAATGCAATCAACAGCTAACAATATACATTGCTATTACGCAGTCTTATTTGATATATGCATAATCTTTTATTACACTTCAATAATTATGATTTATACAGACATGGATGACTGAAGATTCTATACGGTACCTTCAGTTACCGAGATAAACTTATTGACTAGAAGTCTTAATAATGTCAGAGTTTTGTTGATGATGAATACTTCACTTTAAATAATGAATAAATTTGGTAAACCTTGCCTATTATCATCGGTTAATGTTGCTTATATATTTATCATAAAACCATTTTGATAGTGGTAAATAATAGTGCACATGTGTGTGGCATAAGTATGAAAAACTATTATTAAAACATACATCTATTGTAATTCACTTTTTCATCCATCTACACGTTTTTTCTTTCGTATTGCACATTCAATGAAAGCAAAAATAGGATAAATTGTACGAGCAGTTACAAACATTTATTATTTGATGTATTCCTAGAAACTTTTTAAAGAAATAGCATTTTAAAATATATGAAGCAATAAATTACAACAATGAAGTAAGCCATAAATAACTCTACGATAAAAAATTCAATATTTCTAGTCTGATTTAATCAATTGACTGGTTTCGTCGCGTCACTCAGTAAGAATATTGGAATATATAGGACATTGATTATCTCGAAAAGACACTTACAGAGTTCTAATGAACTCTACAGCAATATTTCAGATTGAAAGCTGTTAGTTTTTTTTGTCGTACATGCTATCTGATGAACTAAATAAAACAAAACATTCAGATTATGAAAAATGATGGCATAACAAATTTTCCTCTGAACAAACGAAAAAATTGCGTTTGATTTATTTTCCATCTGTTCCACACATGCATATTCATATTATATTATAAACAAAACAAAATTGAATAAAGATTTAGAGGAAGGAAAAGATTTTTTTTTTGTTTTTAAAGAATAAATTATATCTTCTTACAACTACACTATATTTGGCACAGATCAAAGTATATAATCAAAACCTTGATAAATATAAAAAGAGCTGATAGAGCAATCTCAACAGAAGTCAAATTCAAAGGACGATGAAGCTACTATCATTGCAAAAAAAGAGTTCATCAACATATATTTCAGTTTATTAATTACCTTCTATTGTCAATGCTTGCCAATGATGAAAAATGTTAATCACAATATATTTCAATCAGTATGAAAAAGAAAGCTATCCTAAATGCAGTCGTGTTTCATACTAATTCTGCATTAGATCAGTCTGACGGGTATGCCATCATGATAGATGAAGAGAAAATGGTCATACTATAAAATATCTGTCATCGTTTATGATGGAGGAAAGCAGATGTGCAGAATATACTCATGTGCGTGAATGATCGTTCGGGAAAATTTAAAAACATTTGACAAATATTTTCTCTCACAAGAAAATTTTTTCAATATTTAAAACGAATCTTAATTTATTTATACATAGGACGGGTCAAAAAGTAAGGAAGCATAAATATTGTTGATTTCGCTTCTATACATGAATAATAAACTTTCTTATTCAGCTATACCACATTTACTAGATAGTGATAGTTACAGATATAGCATATTATCAGTCTCTAGGCTCAATAGTTTGTTTCAAAAGCACACCGATATATTTTGTATACTCTTTTGTAACTGTAACAAAATTGATCATTTCTTGTCGACTTTTATTTTCACTTTGTTTTTGTTTGATTGGACCAATTTGAGGAATAAATCGAATAGTATATTCTCTTTTGAATTTCTTAAAGATAAAATAATGCAGAAAAAAATACAAACATGTTGTAATCTGCAAATTGATACAGTCAGACAAAAAATGGATATTAAATTCTATAGGAAAGCCATAATTTTTGTTTCAGTCACATAGGAGTATACGAGACAAATGATATTTCTCATTTCTGACTACCACTACTTAGTATATGTGCTCTAAATAAAAGATTTTATTATTTATGTACAGAGACGAAGTTAAAACAATTCCGTGTTTCCTTACTTTTGACCCACCTTGTATTAATCGACAAAACTTTCTACTTTTTTCGTTTGTTTTCTTTTCAGAAAATCTCTGAAAGATTCATCCGTGTCTTTATCTTAGTGTCAGTATCGTCAAACTTTGTTTACATTCATCATGCATCTTGCCACTGCTTTCTCTCTGTCTCTTTGTGCCTATTCATGAAACAGCACGCACTATTCGAGTTCTTCTCTTTTTTTCTCGATACCTTTTTCCTATTGGAATGCCATTGCTTGCCGTTTTTTTCTCTGTTGCTACATACATTTGCTGTTGTCATCAGTGACTGGATCAAAGCATTTTTCGTTAGTTCAAGTTCAGTTCAATTTGAATTTACTTTTGAAAAATTAATATGGGTTCGGCTCGATTCGATTCAAGTAACCGTAGTTCCATCAAATCAGAAATACACAATAGGTCGAAATCTGTTTCTCCTGATTCTTTTAATTTAAATCGTTTACAAAAACACAAGTAACAACAAACCTGAACTAAACTATATTGAAAAGTGGCTATTTTCTTAGTGCATATTTGCAATGTGTTAAATGGTGGTAGTTGTTTTTTCTTTTTTGAATAAAAATTAAAACAAGAAAACTCGTTTTTTAATTGAGTTTTATAGCGGAAAAATTTTTTAGTCTACCGGCAAATTCTATACGTCTGGAGGAAAGATGTTGTTAAGACATTCTCAAGTTTCACGATAAAATGGGAGACGACACAAGCGGCAACGTTATTTAGGCGTCTTTCATAGTTTGTGACATGTGAATGACGCTTGTGAGAAAGGTGCCAGAGTAGACAGCCAAGTGATTAAATCTTTTTTTTAACTTGAACTCTAATTTGCTCAGTAACATAACATGCAATAAAGTTGTATAACATCTTTAAAAAAGCTGTTAAAAATCGTTTTGTCACATACGCTGCAGTTGTTTTGTTGTTTGACTTCTGCTGTATGTTGACTAAGAGATGGAATCAAATTTCAACACTCTTTTAGAATCGTCTTTCACAAATAAAAGTGAATCATCTATGAAAAGCTTTAAAGCATAAAAAAAGAACCAATTATGTCATAAATTATTCATCATTCCAACGAAAATGAAAAACGAAGCAGTACAAATATGTACAGTCATCACTATTTGCATTAAAGTCCTGTAGAATAATAGAGTTAGGGTAAGAGTGATACAAAAAATGTTTAAGATAGCATTAGAATGTTATTCATATGAAAAAGATTTTTTTTGGTAAGCAACTTCGAAGATACTCGGGACATTTTTCTGATGTAGAAGACAACGGTCATTGTCTTAAAACGACATTAAGTTTTGGTAAAGAATAATAAGTATTGGACTAATAGAACAAATGGTCATCGAACTATTTATAACTTAATGTATTCGAAAAAACGCTATTGGAGATTCCGACAAATTCAGCCTCAAGTGAACATATTTATCCCGAGCAGAAGGACGTCGTAGAGTGACCTTCCAATCTTGAAAAATTTTCGTTTTTTCCTAGCGAAACTGAACAATTTTCTTTGCTTACGAATCTCTCTAACAAGAATCGAAGCCTGCTGTTGTGAGTTGTACTTTCTCAGTAGTCGCCCTAGTCTTCCTCCAGCAATCTCGGCGATCTCAAGACATCTCTGTCCACGGACCATAATGATAATATATGCATCAACATGCATGATACCTTTTTATGGAATATGTGAATCTTGTCAAAAGAACCTTCGTTTTTTCGACGAATATAGGACGGCTACGAAGTCAAAGCATCATAAAGTCCTTATTGAAACTCATTGATGACATTTTTTAAAGACTTCTACTTTTTTTTAGCTTCATTTCAATAAACAAAAATGCTTCAACACTTCACTATAAAACAACGTATTTCACCGCCATTGTTGACCTTCATAATACCTCTTGTTACTTGCTTGTTGTTATTATTATCAGTAAAACAAGCATTTACCTTGTCCTTCTTCAATAGTGCATCAACAAAACGAATATAAACATGTTAGAAAATAATAAAATTATATAAATGTACTAGTAGTTGTTTTGTTTTTATGTTTTTCGTTAATCAGCGCACGTACATTCACATATAATGATTTAAACGAACAATAAAATGTGTCGAATTAAAAAATCATGATTGTTTTCATGCGCTAAGTGCGGGTGATACAAAGAAAAGAAGAAAAAAAATCATGATTAGATCAATCGTTTTTTTGTTTTGTTTTATAAAAGTGTGCTTTTTAAGAATAAGATAATGAAGTAATAGAAGAAGACAGAGAAGAAGAAAGAAAAAAAGAGCATTGACTAACATAAAAGAAAAGGAACAAGTATGATGAATCACACAAAAAAAAAAAAAAGAAATGTTTTTTTCCTTTTGATGCTAATGATGAGATGATGATATGCCGGACAAAAAAAAACATCTTTGATTATAACTAATAGCCGCAAGACTTCAAATAGTCACCAATTTTATTCGTTTTTCCTACTAATGTTTCAGGCTTTTGATTGATACCAATTGAAACAATATAAGCTAAAATAAAACAATTAAAATAATGTTTTATTCTATACAACAATATATGTTTTTCTTTTTCTTGCGTTTACCTTGGTTTAATTTAACAATAGCCATTCCATCGGCACCTTTTCGAAAGACAGCAAAAGAGCCGTCATTACGAATGAAAATATATTTTTCACGGTCCACTACAATGCCTGATGGTTGTGAAGAAAAAGCTTTCGATAATTCTTCTTTAAGGTTATCGATTGTCTATAATAACAAAAAAAAAATAACTTATAAAATAATAAAAACATTAAAAAAAAAAAAAAACTAACTGGAAAATTAGGCGATGCAGCCCAGCGTGACCCATCAGCACCAAATATTCCAACATGTGTAATACCTTGACTTGTCAAATTTGTTACGTATTGATCCCAGCCTGACATTTCTTCTGTTTAAGTAAACGTGTAAGGATTCGTTTTTCTAATTATTAATAATAATAAAAAAGAAAGGCAAGAAAATGTCGGCTCTAGGTTAACAATCTAGAAGTATAAAGAACAAAAAATAATAATAATAAAAAAGTGCGCCAGGAACAGAATAGAACACACTAGATAAGCGAAAAAAAACAATAACAATAACAACAATAAAGATATAGTAGAACATGCTTGCGTGGGAGATCAACAGAGGAACAAAAGTGTGTGCATTAGAATATATTCATATGACTAGTATGTATACTATCGAAGAAAGAAAAGAAAGAAAAAAAAAAGACATCGAACAATTATCACTAGTCCTAACATATAAATGCATATGAATCATCAAAAGTACTTTAATCTCAAATATATGAATATGCATTTTTCGAAATGTATTTAATTGAATCAAGTAGGACAATAAACCAGAAATGAATAATATCAGCAATTACTCCTTCGCTATGCAAATAAAGAATCCGTCGACATTCGAAAAAAAACAAAAAAAAAAAAAAAAAAAAATATATATATATATACACATTTTCGATTTTCGTCCTCTTCCCCTATTATTTAGCTAGTGGCGACGTTGAATAGACCATACAAACAGTTCTAACGATCACACAAAATAAAAAAAAAAGAAAAAGAAAACTAATCGAACATCGAATGAGAACAGCTGGCAAAAAATTATATTAGTAAAGCGACATCTATGAATATAGAAATATATATTAAAATGATTAAATATTAATTTCTCAATTGATTTAAAAAGAAAATTTAATTTCAAAAAAAATTTTAGAGGATTAAAAAATTTTTTCAATTGGTTAATTCATTCTACTTTGAACTATTCGTTGTCTACATGCCTCTTTAGAGGGAGTTTTTAAACTTGATTTGATATCCGTTCTTCTTTTTTTTTTTGTTTTAATTATATAATCATTTCTCTTGTCTTTTCTGTTCTTTTTTTTTGTGATTATTTTACGAGTTAAATATTTAAGACAATTAAGAAAATGGATCTTGCTCCAGTAATCGAAACACTTCAAGCAACACTTTCACCTCAATTACGTAAGCAAGCTGAAGAAAAACTTGCTCAAGTAGGTTATTGTTTGTTTTTTTCGTTTATAAACTTTAAATGAAACATATTTTTAATGATAATTTAGATCTGCAAAACAGCCGGTTTTATCCCATGTCTTGTGCAAATTATTCTCAATGAACAATGTGATATGGGAGCTAGACAAGCTGGTAAAAATATTTTAATATCTTTTTGTTTCATTAAACGAAAAAAAAAAAATATTTCTTTTTTTTTATTTCTTAGGAGCAATTTATTTAAAAAATCATATTAATACTTATTGGTCGGATTTTAATGATATGAAAGCAACAACAGATCCAGAGATCATAACATTAGCTAATGCAGTTAATGTTAATATTAATAAAGCAGCCGGTGATAATACACAAAAATTTTTTGTTATATCTGATTCTGATAAAGAATATTTACGAAATGTTATTATTGATGCTGTTATACGTGCCAAAGATCCATTGAGGTAATATATTTCGTTATAGAAAATAATTCTTTATTCTTGATAAAGATGAAATTGTTTCATATGATTAAATAGAAAGAATAAGACATTGATTGTTTTCCCCTTCTTTTGTGTTTTATCAATGAAAGATTTAAAATATGACTAACAAGTATCTTATTTATTCAAAATCAATTGAAAAAGATTAGTTAGATATTTATATATCATTTTTCAAATGTATTACTATAGGTTTGCATGAAAGATGAAACGTAATTGATCATGTTCTGTACTATAGATAATCAAATTAATCGTTAGATTGTTGATTCTAGTAAAGTTTTGTCATATATTCAACATCGATTTTTGACTTATTCTTATTGTTTATCTAATATAAACAAAAAATTGAAATATTGATTTTTTTAAAATTTTTGTTTCTTCAATTAAGATGTCAATTAATTACAACAGCAGGTACAATGATAAAAAATGACTTCCCATCAAAATGGCCACAATTTATAAATCAAATTCATACATGTCTTTCTACTGATAATATTGCTGCATGTGAAAGTGCTCTTCTTATTTTTTATACACTTGTACAACATTATGAGTATGTATTTAATTCTTTAAAATGAATGAAAAAAAAAAAAACTAGATAAATATTTATTTTAATATTGAATTAAGGTATAAAAAAATGGAAGATCGAGGTCCAATGGATGATGTTATGTTTGTTATTTTACCTCTTCTTCATCAACGTTTTATGCAGTTATTTGCCCATAATGATTCGGATCAATCAGCATTTATACAAAAACAAATTCTTAAAATATTTCATGCTTATACTCAAGTATGTCATTCTAGATAAACAAAACAAATAAAAAACAACCGAACTTTGATAGAGTAGATATAGTTCATAAAATGATGATTGTTTGATAATATTTGAGTACATAAAAGCAACGACCCTTCGAAGATTGAATTAACTCTTGTTAATTACATTTTCAAAAGATAAAATTTAATATAAATCATTGATTCTCGTTTCATGATCCATTTTCATAATGGTGAAAAACAAAAGATTCATACTGTAATTTGCTTAAATATGTTTCAATTGTAATCCTACATTGAAATTACTTTCAACTACATTTTGATATTAGTTCCCTTAAACTGGTATAAAAGAATCTTTGTATACTTTATTGAATTTTAGTAAAATAAGAAGAGAATAAAGTCAAATTGATTTAAAATTACTAATCAATATTAGAAAAGTTAATATAGTTCAGAGAACAATTGAAATAAACTCTTTCGTTTTCTTTCTTAGCATCAAATCATTTTTGCTAATATTTTGTGTACATGTGAGAAATCTTATCCTAATAAAAAGACTAAAAGAATTTGAATTTTTATGATAGATATAAATACTTGTACTTCCACATTAAGAGAATCAATAAAACTCGTAACTCTAATACATAAAAGAAATATTTGCTTTAATTAGAACTTTCAAGATATTCAAAGAATAACTAGGTCTATTTATGTCTAAAATTCATAAAAAAAAGTTGTAATATTCCACTAGAACGCCATGAAAAGGTATCCTTTTGGGATTTTGTTGATCTCATCTACATCTACTGGAAAATCAAATTTGCACATAGATAGGTTTAATTCCTCTTAAAATATTCTAATAGTTTCAATTTGAAAGAATTTTTCTTTCGAAATTCAATATCTCAACAGAAGGATATTCTTCTCGACTGAAAATTTCATTGTATGATTTTTCAATAAATACATAAAAATGAGTCAAAAATTCAGTACAACTTACATAACTTCGTTCTAAAGGTCTCATCGAAGGAATTTTCCTAGTCTTACAGAGAGATTTTTTTTTCCATAGTACTCAAAATCAGTTTTGCTCAGATTCAAACGAGCTCTAGATGGTCAATTTAATTAACGAAATTTTCAATTAAAATCTACATTCATATTTTTTTAAAAATTTTAGCTTCATCTAAGTTTTCGAGTATTACCTACGCAAACAATGGCTACATGGCTTGATACATGTTGTGCAGTTATTGAAAGACGTTTACCTGATCGTTTGGATGCACTTGATGAAGATGATCGAGCTGAACATCCATGGTGGAAATGTAAAAAATGGGCATTACATATTCTTATTCGAACATTTGAAAGGTTGCTAAATAAAAACAAAAAAAAAACGATTCAAAATTAAGTTTTTTATTATTGTTGTTTTAGACATGGAGCACCGGCGAATTTACCTAAAGGTCAACCACCAGATAGAGTTGAATTTGCAAATTTTTATTTAAAAGGTTTTTCCGGTATGAATTTTGTTTTTTTCTATTCTATAAAAATAAAATTCTAAAAAAAAAACGAATTTCATTCTTAGGAAAAGTAATTGGTCTTGTTTTTGGTATTCTTGAAGCTTATCGACAAAAGCTTTATTTATCACCACGTGTTATACAATTATCACTTAATTATTTACGTGAAAGGTAATTTCATAAACAAAATATTTTTTTTCATTTGATAGAAACAAAAAAAAACATTCATCTTTTTCTTTTTAGTGTTCGTCATGCATTTTCATGGAAAATTATGCAAAATAATATTGTTGTACTTATACAGGATATTATTTATCCATTATTATGTATTAATGATGATGATATTGAATTATTTAATGAGGAACCAGTGGAATTTGTTCGTGCACGTCTTGGTATGTTATTATTTAGTAATATGATACTTTTCCTTTGATTCTATCGTGAATAAAGCATGAAATACTTTCATGTTTTTTGAAGAAGCTTTTTTCCTATGAATATATATATAAATATGTTGACTTTTCAGCTCACACGTAAGAGTGCCCCCTTCCGCTCGTTTCTTTTGATCATTTCTGATTTTCGAAGAGAATACAACGTGTTATATTGGTTTTTAGAATTCTATAAATTTGGATATGAAAGTCAAAAATGAAAACGGATGATTTCACTTCTGACTGATGCTTTCAAATTTTTGTGGTAAAAGTTCCAGTTCTATCGAACGAAGTGAGAAGAAAATCGTCAGCAGCCAAGATTGATATTTGAAGTTTTCTTTCACAAGAGTTTCGCATTAGTATCAGTCGAATGCATGTATGTTCGAGTTTTTCATTTCGATAGTGATAGCTAGAAGTTTAGAAAAGATTTAAGCAGCTGAAAGGGTTTTCTATTAGGATTAATGGGTTTAAATAATTCTACAAAATTGCACAGGTAAGAATCACTAATGACTTACGATTCTCAAAGCTAAATTTCTGACTTCCATTTGAAACTTTCAAGAAATGATTTTATCCGATAGAGAAAATATTTTCAAACAAACTGAGACAGCGTTTTTTAATTCAAGCCATTGAAATTTTACATAAATTAAATGCAATTCAATGTAGAACCGTCATAGATCGAATAAAAAGTATTTTCCAAAAATTCTTAATAAAGAATCTCGATCAGATATACACGGACTCAGCTTTAGTTCGAGTCGTATTGATCGCGACCAGAACTAAATATTATAGTTATAAGTATATCAATTAGAACATTATTCAAGAGAGATGACTAGAGCCCGGCGGGAATTAAAATTTCGGACCCATACCCGACGAGCGCTGAAGATGGCCCAAAAGAGTGTTGAAAGATTTTTTTTGTGATACGAATAAATTCTCAATTAGTTTTCTTAAGACCTGGATCATAGAACTGAAATCACTGGGACGAGATTAAATTTACCGTGGTCGTAGTCGGGAGCAAAAAACAATGATCCTACAAATCTTTATTCAAGGTAGTTTGCTTTGAATATCTTTAGTCTCTCAAAGCCAATAAGTAAACCTTTCAGACTTTCAAATCATTTTTTGATAGTAGACAATAATAAATTATGAAACCATTTCTCGAGAACGAATATTTTGTCTTCTATGAAAAACCAAACTCTGTCTTTGTACATGCGTTTTGTAATCTCAATATGTAAAAATTTCTTTTTTAATTTAGATATATTGGATGAATATGTAAGTCCAGTATCAGCAGCTGAATTATTTCTTTCTGAAGCTGTAGCAAAACGTAAAGATGTTTTAATGAAAACAGTTTCATTTCTTGGCACAATTATACATAATGATACAATAACAGCAAAACAAAAAGATGGTGTTTTACATATGTTAGGTGTTATTGGTAATGTTCTTATTAAGAAAAAAGCATTTGTTAATCAATTAGAAAATATGATTGTTCAATATTTATTTCCTGAATTACAAAGTCAAACAGCATTTTTACGTGCTCGTGCTTGTTATGCATTAAGAAATTTTTCTAAACTTGAATATTCAAATAATGATAATACAGCACGTTGTTTAACATATCTCATAAATTGTTTATGTAATGATACATCATTACCAGTTAAAGTTGAAGCAGCTATGGCTTTAAATTTATTTATGTCTGATACAGAAACAGGTGAAAAAGGTAAAGCTATTATAGTACCACATCTTCAAATAATTGTTATGCGTATTATTGAAATAATTCGACAAACTGAAATTGATGATGTAATGATTGTTTTACAAAAAATTGTTGGTTTATTTGATCAAGAATTACAACCAATAGCTGTACAAATGACATCACAATTAGTCGAATTTTTTAAACATGTTGTTTGTTCAGAAAATACATCAAATGATGAAAGTAAAGCAGAAGAACGAACTGTTGCTGCTATGGGTGTACTAAATACATTGGATACAATTGTTAGTTGTATGGGAGAAAAACACGAAGTAAGTCTAAAAACAAAAATAAATTCAATTTGTTAGTGAAATATTGATGAGATAAACAATGGAGTTTAGTAGTTTACGTTTTAACTATTGCGATACGTATATAATGGAGGATTGAAAGATAAAAATGGTACTATAGATATTGAATAATAAGTAAACGTTTTAATTTTCTTTTTGTAGTTAAGCAATTTCAATCATAGCGAGATTCATATTTTGAACTTAAAAGGCTGATACACCTCTCTTATGATATAGGGTAGTGTTTAGCGACAGATTTAATAGTTCGATTTCTTTCGCCGAGTTCTGATGATCTCCCTTTACACGCTTACTAACCACAAGATCAGATATTTATCTCAACTTAGTCAGCATGCTATCCAACGGATGGCTCAAGATTTTAATGATATCTTATCTATAGATATGACATAGCGTTCTAATAAAACCCTGAAAGAATTCGCATTGTTTCCTTGAGGTTTCAGGTTTTCGGAAAACTCGTATTATTTAAATTTTGATCTGAAAATTTATGCATATAAAGAACTGGCCTAGACTAACTTACATAAAAGAATTCACGAGTTTTAAACAAAGTTTCTTCGAGACATGAGACTTTCAAAGTATAGACCCTTTTTTCATGGATTCTGTATACAACGTACATTTTTTGAAAGCTTCATGTCTCGAAGAGACTTCGTTCAAAACTTCTGAATTTTTGTTATTGAAGCTAGTCTAGTTGAGTTCTCTGTATGCGCAAAGTTACAGATTTAAATTCAATAGCTTAGTGAGATCTGAATAGGAGCCCAATTCCTTTTAGGATTTTTATTAGAATATTATCATTTTCATTATCAAACTAAACTATACAGTCTATAACAAGCGTAAACGAAGATTTGCGAATTTCAGGATATTTATCGTATGCTTAGATGAATAACGTATTGTTGTTTCTTGCCTAAAAGCTCCGTAGTATGAGGAAATGTTCGAATAAGCTTTGAGCATTTTGGTATGAACTATTTTTCAAACATGGAATTAATCATTATTGACTAAAATATTATCAAACTTTTATGAGACATAAAAACCGTTACAACAGTGATGTTGAACAAAAATATTAATTACATTGTAAATACTCACTACCTGAAAAAGTTCTTTAATTAGGCTGAATAAGAAGTTATGACTGCCATCTATAATTTTATAAACGGTACGAAGTTGAAAGTAGAAATATGCTATAATTATGCCGTGATCGGATTTTTCCGCTTCCGGGAGGAAAACGAGTACTGATTTGTCAAGACTATAGCTTTATTTTAATATTGTTCATTCCTCGTGAAGTTATTAATATTGAGACTTATTTTTGATTATAATTAGATACTTGTACAAATCGAACAAATTATATATGAAGCTATTCTTCTTGTATTACGTGATGGTATTCTTGGTAAATATTTTTCTTTTCGTTAAATTAACTTTATTGTTTTAAATTAATTCTTTTCTTTTTTTTATAGATTTTTATGAAGAAATTTTAACACTTATTGATACTTTAACTATTAATACAGTTAGTCCATTAATGTGGCAAGTATTTTATTTGATAAAAGAAGCTTTCTTTCGTGATGCTGCAGATTATTTTGCTGGTAAGATAATTTTTATAAAAAGAAGACAAAATCACAATGTTATTTTTATAATTATTAAGAAATAATGAATTGTTTACATAATTATGTTGTTAATGATACACCCTCATTTTTATCACAACCAGATCGAATTGAAACAATCTTTGAAATGTGTAAACATGTAAGTAATTTAAAAATATTTTGTGCGTAATTCTTTCCAAGAAAATAGGACAAAAATTTTGAATCTTGTAAAATTTTCTTCTCCTATATTTGAAACATACTTTTTCCTATGGAATTCGACGAGCTCTATCCTTCAACATAGCTTCAGAATTGATAATGACAAATAATCAGTATTGAATAGTCATCCTGAAGAAACGAGATATTTTTCTCTGGTTCTTTTGTATTTGGTGACTAGTGTGCTCTACACATATTCCTCAGACGATTAAAGCCAATCGGACTCACACCTTTGGGGTTCTTCTGGTGCCGATGGCTTCTTGAGTTTATAATTCAAATACAAATTTAATCATTGTTAGACCTCCATCTAGTGTTCAGTCTAATCGATTGAGACCGAATCGATAAAGTCTCTAGCCCAGGAATAATATCGATCTAAATTTTTTAACATTTTTCAGTTATATCGTTTCTCTAAGAGATTTATTTTGTTGTATTTATTCATTCTGATGATATCTAATTTTTCAAAATTTCTTTCTTTGTTTATAGGTAATTGTTAATGATTTGGGTGAAGATTCAGAAGCTCATGCAGCTAAATTAATCGAAGTAATAATTCTTCAATGTCAAGATAATATGAGTGTTGTATGTATTTTGTTTAAAAAACAAAAATAAATATTAATTTTTTGAATGTTTTAAAAAAAAATTTCTTAGGCACTTCCAGCTATAGTTCAACTAATGGCTCAACGTTTTCAACGTGAAATAGTTACTAGTGAATTACGTCTTATGCTTATTCAAGTATTTATTGTTATTTTATGGCTTAATCCGGATAGATTTTTTCAAACATTAAATACTGTTGCAGCAAATGATCCAAGTACACAAAGTACAATAGCAAACTTTTTTAATCAATGGATGACTGATTGTGAATTATTTGCTGGTGTACATGATCGTCGTGTTTCTGCACTTGGTCTATGTACATTACTTCGTATTGATTCAAAATATTATTCAGCAATATCAAATATTGTACCAAAGATTTTACCAAATTGTATCCATATATATCAAGGTTTAATAAAAACATATCAACATAATAATGATGATGAAAGTAATGATGATACGGAAGATGATGATGAATCTGTACCTAGTGGTAAAATGAAAAAAAAAGTTTATTCTTTTAAATGTTGAAATTTCGTTTTTTTTTTTTTTTTTTCTTCAGAAATTGATGACGGTGAAGATGAAAACATTACACATGAAGATGATTTTCTTGAAAAACTTAAAGGAAAAGTATGAATTTTGCAAAAAAAGAAACTTACCTAAAATGAGTGTTGAAGTATAGGAGTAAAAAGTTGCAGCCGTCCCTATCATACGGCGGACAGTCAAGCGACAAAATCGATTTTTGAGATCTGAATCTAAGTTGTAACTGACATTGAAATCTGCTATGAATCTGCATTTAGCTACATCTTGGATTCTGATTGCAAGCGAATAATCGTCTTGCAGTAGCTATTACAAAGTTGGCAAAATAGGTGAATATCACTAATAAGGCTCTACAAGTAAAATTTATGTTTCAAATTGAAACTCTAATTATATTCATTAGATATTAAACAGTTATTCAACGTTTATGTGTTTACCATAGGTGTTTTGGACTACCTGAACTTCATTCTGTTCCTCTAGAGCTACAAAGCTACTCTTAATATAGCAACAAATAACGACTAATGTAATTCTGTAGCCGAATTTTCCTCGAAGTTTTATTTTACTATCGAATAAAGAAATAATCAAGAATGATTTTGACTTCAAGATGCTCGTTCATATGAAATCGAATTTTTCAACAAAACTCCGTAATCTTCCTTAGTTCAAATTGAAACTTTGCATAAATAAATTTCGTATTAGTATTAATTCATTTTAAAAATTTTTGTTTTTCGCGTTAGTTCTCTCTTGAGATATGAATACTAATATCTGTTTCAAAATATAGTGCGCTCCAGTATTTTTTGAATAACTCGAGAACACGACAAGCTAGCGATCTGCGATTTTCATCCATCGATAGAGAACTTCGGTGGACATAAGTCTATATGAAAATCAAGATTCCATCATCTCTTGAAGGTGATGTATTTTGCCAACCTTTCAAATATTAGGCTATAACAATATGATGCTCCAATGACTGTTAAATTCTTATACCATGGCTAGATAGGCCAAAGGGTGCTCTATCGATCTACGCAAGGCCGAGCTCGCTAGCTTATTCCGTTCGGGAGCTATAAATATTTTGCTGAGGAGTCTTAAAATCGGTCAAATGAACTTTAACCACCTCAAAATAAGTCAAGATAGGGGCAATCGGTTATGCTAAGTCCAATGATGAAGTTTGTTTTCAGTTTCAAAATGATCTGATGTCACGGAATTCAAATTTTCGGAAGTCTAACTTCTGCCGCTATGCGGTGTATAGCACCGATATTTCGAAAATCTGAATATAGCGACGTCAGATCACTTTGAGACTGAAAACAAACCTCACCATTGAACTCAGCGTGGCCGACTACGCCTATCTGTACATGTTTTATGGTGGTTAATGTTCGTTTTGCCGAATTTATGGCTCGTCATCAAAATATTTATAGTGTGTGAGTGTGATGA